CATAGCAACACTCCACTGTAACTTACTATGGAAGCAGATTTTGCTTGGGGGTTTTGTTCATGGGTTGATTTTCATAAACATAAGCCCTTTATATGCATTCTCTTGGATTCTTTTCCTATTAAATTCTCTGTTGAGTTTCTTCAAATATAGTCCCTATTCCTCTGCATTCTTCCTCCAGTGAAACTCTCCCCAGCACGCGCGCGCGCACGCACACACACACACACACACACACACACCTCCACCCACAGTATCATGATTGCCCTTAGAGTTTCACAGAGGTCATATACCATAGTGGTCAAAACCTATCCTGAAAAAAGACAGCCTGTGTTCAGATCTTGAAACTTCCCCTTCTTGCCTGTTACCTACTGGGCAAATTGATGTGTTTGTGCCTCAGCCACATCATCCATAAGACGAGGATAATTGTATTTCCCCCATTATAGGAATTTTTTATTAGCTAATCCTTCTAAGATGTTTGGAATGCCTATCACATAGTAAGAATTCATTAAATGTTAGCCATTACTTTTTATTCTTTGCTCATAAAATGCTTCCTAAGACACCATCATTCATCTTTCTAGGTCATTTGTTATTCTATGTTATGATTCCGGAGCAGCTGTGGAAGTTGGATTCCTCCCATGATGCTGTGGGTGTGAGCTTGATTTTTTGGTCAGCCTCGATTCCTCCTCTTGCAAATGGGCATGTGGAAACCACCTGAACCCAAACAGGTTTTGCCATCRTACAAATGTCTGGTGCTAACTGGTTAGGCTGCAACCTCTTGCCCTCTGTTTCATGGTGTTTTGAATATCTCATAAATTCATGTTTTGTGTTTTGTATAGATAAAAGAAATGGAATGATCTGGATAATAAAACTATTTTTGTTAAAGGATAGTAAACATTTAAAAAATATTARTGAGAAATGAAATGCTTAACTTCAGCTACACAAAGGGAAATGTCTCTGCAGAAATAGCCGTATGGCGCTGACCTCGACTGCTAGTGCTGGGCTTTAAGTTCAGCTCTCCCACTTCCTGTGAGACTTCATCCAAGTCACTTAGTCTGCCTGGGTTTTCGTTGCTACCAATGTCACCACCATCATGCTTGTTGGTTGGTTTTTGTAAACATAAGCCCTTTATATGCATTCTTTTGGATTCTTTCCAGTGGTGAGCACACTGGCTTTTTGTTCTGGTTCTGGTGCCAACTGGTTATGCTGCAACCGGCTTGCCCTCTGTTTCTCGGGTTTTTTTTAGTTGGAATTGACCTTCTCACCCAGCGTGCATGCCGGCCTTTGGGTGGGCTGCAAGTGGGTCCCAGGCATGCAGATGTATTGGTCCCCTCATCCTGGGGGCAGTTGGGCAAACGTTGGGGTGGCCGGACTTCTTGCACTGATCTCTGGTGGGAGAGGCTCCATCCATGACTCTAATGCTTCCACAATAATGCAGAAAAACTGGGTGAATACTATTGAGTGTTTGCTCCTAGGAGTTGTGTGACATTGGGCAAATTACTTAGCTTAGCTTTCTGAACGTCATTCTCCTGATTTAAGTGAGATGCACTCCAAACTACTGGTTTGAATAAAATATGTGACTTTCCAAGTCTAATGTCAAACTGAGTAAGCGTGAAAAACTCTAAGACTGTTGCTTCTTTGGGCGCTCTTTAACACAATGAATGAGTGTGGTGGTGATTGCTGTCAGACCCAGGGAACAGGGATGCAGGTGTCGATGGGCTGCATCTGGGTGTGAAGCACAGCACAGTCTGACCAAGCGACTCTTCACTTGCTGGGCTTCACACGTGGACAGTGGACAGGCGTTGGATGTTGTCCGTATCTGCTAAAAAATACACAAGAGGACTCAGGCAGAAGACTGAGGACCAAACAGACAAAATTAGACCTATTTCATTTTTAGAAATCAAACCTAATTTTTTCATTGATAGGTGTTCACATTTACGATGCTTTATTTCATTTCAGATCAATCGCTGATTGGTTGTTTCTTCCCCAAATTCTCATCCTGTAACTGCTTTTTCTTTTTTTTTTTTTAAATTCAATTTTGCAATAATCTGCAGACAGCTAGAGGATTAGGAAAAACTGTGACACAAAATAAATGATGCGAAGAATCTCTCTATCATGCCACAGAAACAGGTTGGACATCTATTTTTGCCCTACCGTTAGAACACGTAGCACTGTTCTATTGCTAGAGAGAGAGTTGAACGAGACAAAGAAGCCCCCTGTGCACTTTATATTCTAATGGAGATAAAGGGGATAAAAATGGATGGCGCCGGTGGGCGGTGAGTGTGCAGTGGAGCCTGGAGACGAGCGGGGGAGGATGCCCTTGGGGTAGCGGCACAGTGAGGTATGCCTCTCGGAGGAGGAAACTGCTGGGCGGTCCCCAGTGGAGTCCCCGAGCTAGCTGGGCCATGAGTACTTTTTATTTATTAGGTTTAATTAAAGTGAGGTCCACCTCTACAGCAAGTGGCCWCTCTTTCAGGGAGAGGCCTTGACTGTTCTAAGAAAATTATGGCAGATAGAAGAATGCTTCCTTCCACCTTAAAAATCTCCAAATAGAATTCAACAGTAATTATTAGTTAATGAGGTCTAGGTGTGGCTTATCCCAGGGCAGGGGCAGGACCAGGTCTGATGACCTCGAGGGCTTTGGGTCCCTATCTTTTTGCTTCTGTTTTTCCTCATCCTGGTTCCATGACTCATCAACGCAATGGTCCACTAGCCAATGAGAGGTGCCGGTTCCCATGCAGCCAGTTGGAAACGAGGTTGGGCAAACCGTTCTTCACCCTGCCCTGGGATTTGGGAGAGAAAATGCTTTTGACAGATACCCTGTACTTTAATTAAAGTTTAGCATCTCCTGCACAAAAGAAATAACTGATAATATGTTATTAGAACTTGCCTGCTTAGATAAATAAAGCCACACAGCAAGGATTTTTACAGACTTGGTTAGAACCAGGAATTATTAGTCACCCATTGCTCTTTGTCTCCCCGTGATGTTGGGCTCCTGCTCCCCCTCTCCATCAGCCTCTCGGGTTCCATGTGGGGAGTTTCTACAGCCTCACATTGGCATGGGCTTTCCTGTGTTCCTTTTACATTCTTTTGTTTTTCTGCAGCCCCATAATTTGCACTCCATGGCTTTGAGGGGGAAGGGTAGGCCACAGCTTTGCACTGTTACACGAAGGCAGAGCCAGGGTGGCTGAGGAGGTTGCAAAGATGCTATCCTTTGTTGCTTCCTAAGGCAGCRCAGGGGTCCTTACAAAGATAATCTGGGAGACAATGTAAAACTCCTCTCTTACCAACGAATGTGATCCTTTAAATTTCATTCCAAGACCAAGATTCCCCTGAGAAGTCTTCTCCCTTTAGCATGCAAACATCTCAGCAAGGAACAAAGCATGAAGATTAAAATCCTGAAGGACATAGACAGTCTCTGGAATAGAGCTTCTCAACACAGGGGCCTCTCAGTCCCTTTCAATGTCCAGGTGACATTTGCACTGAAGTTCCACCAGCAGAGGTGAATGAATGCTGGCACCTTAATGTCAGTCACACGGAATGACACGGTGGTCATGTGCTCTTCATGATGACGTCCACACCCCTCCACACACACCTTGCAGGTGCATGCTAGCTTCACCTAAGAATGTCCTCAAAGCAGTCACCTGTATTACCCTTGGGGAATCCTGACCTTGAGTTCATGTCTTTGTAGCATTTTGTTTGATGACGCAGGAAGCGCACACAGGACATCTCTGAGGCTACCGAAGAGCAACAGTGACTCAAAAAAAAAAAAAAAAATACACGTAGGGTTGAGTTGCAAGATGATCTAGCAACTTCTTTCATGGAACCCCATTTTTTTCTCAAAAGCATAACCAACAGTCAATGGGTATTCAGATTTGAGTGGGTTGGCAGACATTTTCTCAAAAAAAAAAAAAAAAGAGAAGGAATCCAGCTTCTTTAAGAACACTGACAGTATTTGTTACCAATGATGAAATTTAAGCTTTCAACTGAAAATTAGAATTTCGCAAAACTTGTATTTGTCATTGTGAGCTTGACAGCTTCCTAATATTTAAAGACTCTTCTGATGAGATTGGTGGTGATATTAACTAATGTGATGTTTTGATGTTGTGTAATGAAAAGTGTCAAAATGTAGAGGAGCTGCATAACTCAGTGATCTGATATTTCCAAGATGACCCATGCTGCTGTTATATAATTGTGCAGGGTGAAAAGGTCCATTCAAAGAACAGTAGGGAACACAAGATTTCCATGTGGCAGTACGAAAGTGTGTGGATGTGGCTCCAGGTACCGTACTGTAGCGGACCTTCAAGAGGCGACCATTTGTTTAGTGTGGTCCTAAGGACAAAAACCTTACCAAGTGACCACAGACTGAGTGTAGAAACAAGACCAGGAGTGCAGCCTCTTCTTCTGAGCCAGACGTGAGCGACATTTACAAAGAGGCAAAGCATACTGCTCTTCTTGTTAAAAAAAAAAAAAAAAAAAAAAAAAAGATTGTCTCAGGACTTGCAGTGACTGTCATAAAATATGTTATTTATGTGATACGTGATAGGTTTAGCACTGGTATCCTCCAATGAAACAATAAATAAATTTTCCTCAGTTTTAATTTCTGAAATGGTAAATATCCAGAGAGAAAAGCCACACAAACAAATATGGGCAATGGGATTAACTTTGAAAGGTGTGGAGGCGATCCGAGACCAGGACGTTGGAGAGCCTTGGCTCTTGGTCATCTCATGGGGCGCGTTGGATCACCACGTTGGTCTCCCTGCTACTCCACACTGCYGGCATGACTGCCCTCTGTGGGGGACCCCATCAGCCTCTCTCCATCAAGGGTACTGGGTGGAGAGGTGCTGAGACAGGGCTTCCTCACAGCCTGAAAATGGCAGGCCAGGTCAGTGGGGGTCCCCCGCTGGGGAGGCCAGGGCTGAGGTGGAGACAGGGCAGGCCTTCCTGGTCTGTGGCCTCTTGTTCTGAAGCTCAGCGAGTTTCCTTACCCCGTGGCTCTTCCCCAGGGAGTTTGCCCGTTGGAAGGTGAACAATCTGGCTCTGGAACGGAAGGACTTCTTCAGTCTGCCTTTGCCTCTCGCCCCAGAGTTCGTCCGGAACATCCGCCTCCTGGGAAGGAGACCCAACCTGCAGCAGGTTACTGAAAACCTGATCAAAAAGTACGGCACTCATTTCTTACTTTCCGCCACCCTTGGAGGTAAGCAGCATCTCCAGCCCAGCTAACGGGTGCAGGGTGCTGAAAACAGCTAGATGACCTATTGAATGGCGCTCCAACGGCCTTTTTTTTTTTCCTTCCTGGCCTATTATTTCCTGAGAAATTCTGTCTGGTGCGGTGGAGAACAGTGCCTTCTCCTGGAATCCATATTTCCCCCAGAACATTTCTGTTTGCTCAAAAGCATCCTCCTGAGAGGGGGGTGCGGGGTAAGGTCAGGGCACGGCCGGCTCCTACCAAGCATGTACCAGCAGGGGGCGCTCCCAGTTTTCTTTTTATGGAGCCATCGAAATATTAGCCATTTCCTAATATTTGCTGAGGCTACAGATGTCAGACCCACAGGCAAAGAAGTCGATGCCTGTTGAGTCCCTGACGGCTGCTTTCTCTCTGTAAAGAATGGTAACCAGCCAACAACCCAATTCCAACAAGATTCTGGGTTGGAGACTCACCCCCTGGTTGGGGGGGTGTGGGGGTGGGACGGTGCAGTGTGTGAYGGGACCCTGCGAGGACTGAGAGCTCTGAGCAGGCAGCGTCCTCTGCCCCAGAAAGAAGAAAGCAGATTTGCTATCACTGTCCAGGGGACAAAGGGAAGCTCTCCCAGGGCGCAGGCCAGCGGCCGGCCTGGGGTAGGTGTGGAGTGTTTGATGGGAGGACAGAGGTTCSGTTTCCAGCCTTTTGCCCTTTCCGAGGGAGCAGAAATAGCCCTGGCGACTTCTTATACACAACTTGAGAGAGAGGGGGATGGCTCTTCCTCGCCCCCTGTAGATCGCCTGAGACACAGATCAATAGAGGATGTTAAAGGGATAAGGGGGGCGGCGAGGGCTGAGCTCTGGGGGACTTAAGGAACTGAGGAGGAGGAGGGCCGCCCAGGCATGAGACCTGGACCCTGTGGTGCAGACAAGGAGGTTGCTTCAAAGATGGGCAGGGACGGGAAGAGATCCGCAGCAGGGCAGTGCGTCTGCCCCGGCCAGGGGTCTCATGTTCTTCCTGGCGGGGATGGGGGCGTGGAAGGCCTCACCARTGAACCCATGCTGTTCTGTTCTAGGAGAAGAGTCCCTGACCATTTTCGTGGACAAGCGGAAACTGAGCAGAAAGGCAGAGACAGCAGGAGGTGGCCCTGTCCTCGGGGGCAGTGGGAACAGCTCTGCCGTGTCCCTGGAGACCCTGCACCAGTTGGCAGCCTCCTACTTCATTGACAGAGAGAGCACTCTGCGCCGGCTGCACCACATACAGATAGCCACCGGGGCCATCAAGGTAACCGCCTGGGGGAGCCCGGAGGCCGGAGCCCTGAGCAGCTCCAGGTCAGCCAGGCCTGAGCGGCCAAAGCCCAAACGCAGCTTCCGGTGGAGTCTCAGCTGGTCCTCAGACAGGGTTGGTCATTCATCCCACAGGGTCGGTCATTCATCAGACAGGGTCGGTCATTCATCCCACGGCACACATTCCTGGAGTACCTGCTCTGAGTGGGCCTAGCCCAGGGACTGTTGGGGAAGGTAGAGAAGGTCCCTGCCTTCTAGAAGAGGACAAGGTAATAAGCAAAACCAAGTCGTTTCAGATAAAGAAAAGACAAGTGTCCTAGAATGTGGGAGGGACCCGCTGATCAGGTCAGGAAGGACACTTTGAGGCCGAGATGGAATAATAAGAACCCAGCTGTGTCGAGTGCTGGGGGAGGAAAGTTTGGGCAGAGCAGCATGTCCTAAGGTCCTGAGGTGCCTTGTTGAAGCACAGAGAAGGCTGTTGGTGACTGCAGAGAGGTGACCAAGAAAGACACTGCTACCAGATGAGGTTCAGAAGCAGCCTGCAGCCAGATCACATGGCCATGATGAGTTTTGATAAAAGTCGAAGTGCAGTGGAAAACCACAGAAGCATTCTAGAAGGGGAGTGACATGATCTCATGCATAATTTTGAAAGATCAGGAGATACTCTGACTTCAACGACTAGGATCTCCATCCCATCTTCTCTTCTTACATGTAGGAGATTTTTAGTAAAATTCCTATTGTTCTAGGGAAAATTCATCAAAATAATTGACAATACGGATTTTTAAAGTCTAAGTCTAAAATGAAGGTGGTGAAGAGACATCAAATATGTGTCATAGGCTGCTTTATCCCAGCTGAAGCTCACAAGGACATTTTGTTCATTCATTCGCTCATTTGACAAATATTCACTGAGTGCCTGCTATGGGTCAGGCTCTATTCTGGATCCTAAAAATACAAGAGTGGACAAAACATATAAAATCCCACCCTCATGAAGCTTGAATTCCAATGGTGAAGTCATAGTTAGATACACACAGTGCAAAGTGGTGACTGATGCCATGGAGAAATGGATCCAGGTGGGAGGACCTGGGGACCAGGACCTCAGGTCTAACCTCTGAAGCAGTACCCCTTACACAGAGACCTGAAGGAAGCAGGGGAGCCGTCCACCGTGGGTCTCTTGAGCTACAGCCTTATGGATGGGGGAAGAGCAAATGACAATGTCCCAGGGAACAGGCTTGGTCTTCCATGAGCACCGTGGGAGCCCTGTGTGGGGTCTGGAGGGGGAGAGAGAGATCCRCTGTGGGGTGCAGGGCCCAATCATCAGGCCCTTCCTGATGGTGGCTTAGACCAAGCTGGTACCCTAGGGAGCGAGAAGTTGACAGATTCAAAATACAGTTTGATGGTGGAGCCTGCAGGGCTAGGTAATGGGTTGGAAGAAAGGATTCAAGACTAACAGCAAGATTTGGGGCCTCAGCAACCAGACCAATAGTGATTCCATTTACTGAAAAGGAAAACCCTGGCAGGGGGTGCAGATCTGGAAGAAATCAATCAGGCTTTTGATTTTAAATGTGGACTCATTAAACTTGACGTTCCCCTTAGACATCCCAGTAGAGAACTCTAATAGGCAGTTGGAGATAAACACCAGGATTTCAAGGAAAAAAAAATCATGGTTGGGGATAGAAATCTGGCACATGAATCTATACACAGGTGTCGTTGATTCTCAAGAATGTGGGAAAGGAAGACAGGAGTACATTCAAGGAATGAGGGTAGCCACTAAGATAGCCCTGAACCTGCGTGGAAAGCACCCCAATATTCAGAAATGGGAAGAGGAAGGGAATCCTAGCGAGAAGCCTGAGACAGGACAGAGACATACAAAGGGAACCAAAGTGGGATCGCAGGAAAAGCAAAGTGTATCCCGCAGCCACAGGGAGCCCAGGCACCTGGGTGGAAGCCATGGCGCCATCGCTATGGCAAAGATGGAGAACTGACCTTCAGCCTGGCAACTGGAAGGCAGCTATGACCTTGAAGGTAGCAGAACACTGGCTTCAGTGACATGAAGGGTACAAGAGGCTGAGTAGACAGGGTCCAAGAGAGGAAGCACAGAGGGGATCAGATAGGGAGAGAGACAGTGCTGTTGCTCTAAAGGCAAATAGAAGAACCCGTGATGGCTGGAGAGCAGCGTGGGGTCAAGGAAGGCTGGAGATGGTCCAGCTTAYTGGTGTGGACACTGAAATGATTCAGTAGTAAGGGGCACAGTGAAGGTGCAGCAGAGACAGGAGATGACTGCAAGAGTACAGCCCTTGGGTGGGAGGGGTTGCTCTTCTGTGTGGGAGTGGAGGGGCTGGTCTTGCTTGGAAATGTGAACTCTTCCGGGGTGGCAACAGGGACAGGAGGTGGGTACAGGACCGATGCTGGAGGAGGTCAGGAGTGGCAGGAAGACAGCAGCTCTCTTCTGACTAATTCTGTTTCCTTGGTGAAACAAGCAGCAAAGTCCTTGGCTGAAAGGAAGGAGAGGGAACTGTTGAGAAAATGATGTCTGAAATGGGCTTCTCAGAGAGTAGGGCCCAGCGTCAGGACGGTCAGCTGACTGGGTCAACGTGGTAGACGTCTGGGTAGCACGAAAGGCCTACGTGAGATTCTTGCCTGTGTTAGCTCCTCATCGCTGTGACCCAAACACCCAAGTTAGAGGAGGGATAGTTTAAACTGGCCCATGGTTTCAGAGGTTTAGTCCCTGACTCCATTGCTCTGGCCCAAGGTGAGGCAGAACATCCTGTGGAAGGTCGTGATGGAGGAAAGCCACTCAGCTCACGACAGCCAGGAAGCAGGGGAGCAGGGGTGAGGGTGCAGGGAAGAGTCACCCTCCCAAGGCTGCCCCCAGGGACTTCCTCCTCCAGCCATCCTCCACCTGCCTGTGGTAGCCACCAAGACAGTCCATTCCAACCAGGGAGGGACTGACAAAGCCCATCCCTGGTCTCTGAATATTTCTGCATTTCCTAGTACGACAATGTCATCACGAGACCAGGCGACATAGTTGTGAGTTTCATCAGCTCCCTTAGAAAACAGTTTGTGTACAGGCAGGCAAAGAATAGAAGGAGAGTTGGATTTCACCAGGATACGAGTACCCACAAGATCCGAGGGAAAGGAGGCTGGGATGTTGAGAGGGTGTGCCAAGGAGTGACCATAGTGCCAGACGAAGGGACCTAGGTCGGGCAAGGAGGGGAAGGAAGTCAACGAGGGGTGGTGATAGTGAAAAGTTGGTCAGGTCCAAAGACTGAAGTCTAAGTAGCCTCAACCATGTGTGAGAGGGAAGGGACTAGAGAAAGTATGATTGTGGGATACGTGATCCTGAAATTACAAGTGGAAATTACAGGTTCTGGGGCACAGATGGGTAAGATGGGGCCCAGGCCAGGTCAGGAGGCAAGSTTAGGTGGCCAGGGATCTGAGAGGCCAGGTATTAAAGGATCACCCATGTGGATGCAGAAGTCAGTAGGAATGATACAGGCGGGCGCTGGTAAGAACAAAGGTGATTTTARTACTAAAAATCCTCAAGGATTGAGGGAGGGTAGTGAGAGAAACCAGGAGGGATGGGGGGTGACATGGCCTGACAGTTCTGCCTTCGAAGGAGCCAAAGATGCTGATACCAAAGAAAGAGAGGTAGGAAATCACAGTGGGGGAGACACCTCGGTTTCATGCCCAGGAGTGTGAGGGAGAGACAAGAGAGCCACCGCGAGAGAAGGCTTTGGGGACACCCCCCACCCCCCCCCCCAGGCAGCCAGGCTGTGGTTCAATTAAACAGAAAGGAAGAAATGAAGCCGACTCTCAAGGAGGGGTGGGATTAAGGGTTCTGTTGAGGACCCACCATGAACTAACTACAGGGAGCACAAGGAAGTTCACAGAGGAGAAGGGATGAGATCAGCAGGGACGCTGTGTCTGGGAGGTGAGGGTGACTTTCACTAACCGAGGACGTAGGGCTCCGTGGAAGCCCCTCTCCCCTCTTCAGTGCTGCGGTGGGTTCTGTCAAGGTTGGAGAAGGACTGGGAAATTCTGACTAGGGATTGAAAGGTGGGCCTTGGGTCTGCAGCACAAGGGTCTCATTAATGTCCCTTCCTGTCCTTTGGCTTGACCGACTGTCCACTGTCCTTAGTGCCTCATTTCCCCCTGTCCCTACCTTGGACTCGTTGCTCTCCCTACAGTCTCTCCCTGCCTGTGTCTCCTTCTCCTTTGCACCCCCCCAGCCCAGGACCTCCCAGCTCTGTCATTCTGTCCTTTAACTAGTCTTCCGTCTCCGTTCCCAGCTGTTCCCTGACTCACTCTCTGTGACGGTGAGTGAGTCATCCCATCATCTCTGGCTGCACACGGGCCAGACCTGACCTCTGAACCCGAGCCAGGTGGCCGAGCGCTGGGACSGACAGGACCTCAGCTCCCACCTGAGCACGCGCACGGCCACTGCTCGCGGTGGCTTTATCACCCAACTTCTCTGAACCTCAGTTTCCTCATCCTAAAATGGTCGACTGATTAGAACAATTTCAACCCAGAAGAAGTTCCGGGCTATTGATTAAGAAAATGTAAGGATAGCACCAACCATGAGCGCAGCTTGAAAGGGGCTGATCCCTCTTCTTCTTAGCAGACCTGAAGGACCACTGAAGACCTAGCCCCGCTGTCTTTCTAGTTTCATCTCTAAACAGTCCCTTTATCTTCCTCTCCACCCTCGCTCTCTGGCCTCCACTCTGCGCCCATCCCCATCCAGGAACCCAGTTCCACCTAAATGCCAGTCTGTATTAAAATGCTCCTTGCTTTCAGAGGTCACCTCCCGGCCACTTGCTTCTTGCCATGTTGCAGTGTTTGTCTGTCCACCTGAGGGGCTCTTCCTTGCCCTTCTTTGCTCAGCTCGGGAAGGTAACTCTCAGTGAAGCTTCTCCTGACTCCCAAGGTCGCTGATGCTCCTCTGTCTCTCTCACAGGGCTTGTCATCTGAACTGTAATTGCCAGCTAATGTGATTATTTC